TTATTGATTTTTTTAAAAAAAACTTTATTTTAGCAGAGCTGACGCTCAGATTCATGTGGTGTCCCTTTATCTCTGCATTTTAACATCTGATTTAGGTATTAAATCCAATCTGTGACGGATGTCTCACTCAGATCATCATGCCTTCATACTGTGTCCTTCCACATGGCTTATTATTTCTCTTTCTTGTGTGTCTTTGGATTAATACCCAGGCCGCACTTCAAATTAAACTTGAATGTCACATGTTTTATTACAGAGTAAATTCAGGCACGGGTGACAGAGAGAGAGAGAGAGTGAGAGAGAGAGAGAAACACTGTTAAGACCTGGTAAAAACTGTAATATTGAGATCTAATAAGCCACCCTTGTAAATGTCACATCGCGCAAAGAGCACTAACCTTTCACACAGGAGCTTCTAAAATATGATTTTTATGTTGATTTTTTTGACTCATGATATCATGTTCGTCTCCTCGTCCGCCGAAATGTGATGTTAGACATATTTAGTGAGAGACGGCTAATGCGTCTGCAGTCAGGCCAACAGTTTCTGCTCCTGGATGTATTTGTGCAGGGCTGTAATCACTCTTTCCTCAGGTACACCACACCTGGGATTTAGTCTACAACGCTTTCAGCTAATCTGTGACCTCACGCCTGCGTGTTAATATACTGGCTGCAAGCATCTAGGCCTAAACTGTTATTAGTGCAAATACTCAAGAGGCACCTGCCATACAAAATGTGTTTTTACGGCAACAGCCACCGTTTTCTTTTCCACACAGTTCCCATTAATCACTGTTGCATTGGGTTTAATTGTAGCTCTGTATAAGAACACTGCTGTAATTGTAGTTGTGCTATCACTGCTATAAATAGTGTTACATCCTTTGAGCTCCACATTTATTAATGAAGACTATTTTTGGAGGTTCATACATGAAGAACAAGGCAATTATCATTATTACTTTAACCATTTAATTAATGTAGCACAAGTGCACCATATAGATATGAAAACTGTTGCACTTTTTGACAGTTCGCTCAATATACAGGCCGAAAATAGTCCCATGGGAAATAAAAGGGTTTAATTTTCTAAGCTGTTTGATGAATAAGCCTTAATAATAAACCCTAATAGTCTCATTCTTCACTTAGACTTTACATACTTTTATAAAAATGTGGGGCATTCTTTTGTTGATGAAAGCATGGGAAATGTCTAGTGCTAGGCCTGGGTATTCATAAATATTCATATTTATGAATATGTACAACAAATTTCATTTATTTTACATAACTGATGCATTTTAGAATTAGTTTAGGTTCATATAAAGGGCAATATGGACGTATTTAAATTACTTGTGACAACACACCTGCCCCTAATGTCCACATCTTCTGACTTCTTCATTTAGGACAATCAGGTTTGTTAGATGTTTGGGGCAGCTTGGCTCAATTTCAACATAAGATAATGTGGTTATGCACAAAAAATACATTAAACAGAAGCAGTTTGCACTAAAATAGCCTGACTCTTTTTTCAGTTGTGCTGTACAACATAATTTAGACTTAATTTAGACTTTTTATCAGACCTTTTCCTCTTTTGTCAGTGAATCAACTCAGGTCCCCCAGTGTAGTTTATCATCTTCTGGGTTTGTGTTGATGTGTTGTGTGAGTTTCAGTGGAATTAGCCAACCAGTTTGCATGTTTTTTTTTTAAAGTTTAGGCTGCAAATCATTGTTTACAGAACGCTTGTCCCTATCGTGACTGCTGTGAGATGTCCACACACAGGGGCGAATCAATAAGGTGCAAACTACAATTTCACTGTCCCATCATCGATCATGCCCCCCTAGCTAATTAGATGATATCCCGACTGGTTGCATTCAATTTGTTCCAGCAGCGCCCTTAAAACCTAATAAAGCGATTGATTGAGGCTCAATGAGGTTGTTGCAATTAGGAAACTGTTAATGAACATGCTGCTTTTGTCTCATGAGATTGACTGGCGTGTTCAGCCATCGCTTTGATTTTCCTCAGACAAGCGGGCGAGGAAAGGAAATCAGCTGGCAAATAGATTATTCTCATAAATCCAGTGGGACCATATGTTTTAGGCCTGTGTGACAATTAATCTTGTTGACTTACCTTTTAAGGTCAAGCTTGTGATTCTGGTACCCTTTTATTCCAGTCATAGTTTCATTTAATAACCATTTTAAATGAATGTCAGACACATTGACCACCTCTGGTTTGAGTGGCCCATAGCATAAACACTGCATTGGTGGAATAAACTAAAATAAAACCATAATGGGTGAGTTTCCTGGACATGGGTTATGACTAGTCTTGGACTAAACTGCAGCGCCAATGGTGCTTCACCTTTAAAACTCTAGTCCAGGTTTAGGCTTAATTTGGGTCTGAAGAACTTGCCCAATAATTCGGAATGAATCGGTTTAGCTACTTAAACAAAATAGAGTCTATTTTAAGAACATTCTTTGTAAATTTGAACATAAAACTGAGAGATATAGATGTATTACAAGGTCTACAGGTCCGCGTTCATAGATCCAGAGCGCCAATCATTAGAGATTCTGTGGGAGCTTTGGCGCCGTCTTGCGGTGAAAGCGAGTTTGTGCTGGAGCCGCTTCAGCACATTCCCATTAAGAAAAACAGTTAAAGGTGCATCTTCTTAGAAATACATGGAACTTGCATTTTAATCCAGTTATATTTAAAGCTCACCACACAGTCCAGTCTTCATTTGCCTCCAACGAAATAAAAAGTCTTTCTTGTTATTATATTATTGTTGACATACAAGATTCATTAGATAACCGAATGAATTTATTAAAGTGTTTTTTAATGATAGTACAATAACACTATAATATTTAAGAATAAAATAGCGTTAGCTGTTTAGGACTGCATAGAGCATTAAATAGGAAAAACAGCCCAAATAAATGGTTGTTACACAGGCGTCCATTTAAAAATGGAAAATATTAAAAACAAAGTTTTGACAGGTGTATCAAAATTCATCGTTCAGGACGAAATTTTCAGTATAAAGCATCAGTGGCTAATTAAATGTTTCCAATAATCCCGACAGCAGTTAAACATTCCTTGGGATCGTAATATTAATAATTCCTACACATCAATACAACGTTTATAAAAATCGTATTTGGAAGTAACGTTTCTAGTAGCGAGAGCAATTTTAAAACGTCTGCGCGGACAGAAATGGATCCGACAGCTTAATCAGTGACATTTCCAAACAGTGGAAATAAAAAGAAAAAACAAACAAATAAAGAAGGTTCTTTTGCTAATTAAAAAAAAGAAATAGCAACTGCAAAAATTCACAAAATTGCGCAGAATTTGCACCAAACGTCCCCATCTGACACCGTTCTGACCTGAGAGAGAATTCAGGTGAATTTTAGGGAACAAACCTATGAGCGGAGTCCCGCGTAGCTCCATCAGTGAGTTCCAGTCTCAGCTCGATCAGCCTCAGAATCGCTCTGGAAAACACTCATCACAACAAACCTGAGAAAGACAGAGAGTGAGAGCGAGTGTGTGTGTGTGTGTGTGTTAGGAAAGCTGCCCCCTTGCTGAAAATGAGAAGTGCATCGCAGTTCGCGCTGGAAGCCGCCGCGGAGCCGCTGAAGGGAAACGAGGAGGATTCGCTGCTTTCGCTTTGCAGCACGCGCGGTTTGAACTTACGCTTCAATCTGCGCCCACATTCAAATGAGCTTGAATATTAATTAGGCTCGTTATGACGGCGCTAATTAGGACGGAGAGGAGGGCTGATGGGGATCAGTGTGGCACTTCCCATCAGTCCGCGGGACGTTAACGCCAGAGTCCAGCATGAACCACAACACAGCCTCATTTTAACGCTCTTGTTTTAGGGCCATCAAAAGAGAAAAAAATGGTTTATCTGGAGAAAAATGCAGGGAAGAATGAAGCAAAGCAGCCGAGCAAAATGTCATTTACAATATTCCCCACCATTCTGGTTCCCTTGAGCTATTGAGAGTCATTGCTTTCACTCCAAAAGGCCCTGACACACACAATAACTATCAGCTCATCCCGGCGAGGGGGGCTGGAGCGCGAGCTGCTGCTCCTCCAACACATGTCCCACTCACTCACGTCAACGTCTTGCCACTCGTCAGAAAATAAAATCACAGTTGTAATCATTGTAATAAATGGATGGAGGTTTTGCTTTGGCCAGTAATGACGTTTTCGTCACCTTTTACTTTATTTCATTTATTTATTTTCACAAAAAAACATCAGAATTAGTTTTAATAAACAAGCTTCAAACTGTAGACTGATTTCCAAACAAAAGGCAACTATAAGCAAATTTAACAATAAATAATAAACACTAATAAATACGTAGTGCATGTCTACAATGCACTTCCAAGCATTATGTGTTTGTCTTAAAATTAAAAGTCCCTGTTACTGTCCTTAGTGTACATTTATGGTTAATTGTCAATAATTGTTATTTTGTTTATTTATTTATATTTTTATATGACATTTTAAACCGTTTAAGGCTCAATCTGAGACTGTAGAGGGAGTTTAGGTCTCTAAAAAGAAAAAAAAAGAGCATTCAGATTTGTCTGAGTAGCTCTGAGAGGCTCTCTGATTGGCTGGATCAGGGTCCTGTCACGATCTGGCCAATGAAAAGAGAGAAGGGGGGAAAACACGAGGAGTTATAATAAAGGAGAAATAACAAGCGCGCGCGCGCTCGCACGCACACGTACACGCCGGGCCGTGACGTCACCGGAGGAAGTCATCGGCGAGCCACACTGGAAAGGATTTTACTAGCAAAAAAAGGAGAGAGAGAGAGAGTGATGTCGAGGAGTTTAGAGCCCCTGCGAAAAGCTCAACTTTAAGAGAAAAAGTTCAATGAGCAGAACAACAACAACAACACAAAAAGAAAAAAAAGAGAAAGAAACAGGGACGTGGGAGCTTAACACACACCGCACTGCTGTCCACATTTCACACTGAATGTACGAACACCTTGGAGCGCAGAGCATCACACAGTTTCTGAAGGATTTTTTCTCCAGTTTTTTGCTTGTTTCTGAAATGTTAGCTCGCTCTTCTCTTCGCTCTCCTCGTTGGCTTCCACTTGGTGCGTAATTTGGCGACGGTTTTACGCGCCGTTTGGTTTCGTGTTTTTGTTTTTGTTTTTTCTTCTTATTCTTTCAGTTTTTCTCCTCATTTCGAGCCAAATGGAGGAAAAAGTTGTGATGAAAGCTCCCTAATCGCCGCCGCCTGACCACCATGGAGGGATCCAGCGGGTCTAGTTTCGGAATAGACACTATCCTGTCCGCGTCCAACCCGTGCACTTCTGCGCTCATGAACGGAGACTTTCGTGCGGATTACCGCGGACAGTCCACCCCTTCCCCGTGCTCGGAAGTGGACACGGTGGGCACGGCGCCCTCCTCGCCCATCTCGGTTACCGCGGAGCCTCCCGAGCCGCACGGGCTCCTCCAAGACGGCCTTCATCACCACCACCATCAGCAGCACCATCAGCACCACCATCATCATCCTCACCGCCAGCTCTCGCCGCAGCCTCAGGCCCCGCGGACTGCCACCTCCTCTTTCCTCATCAAGGACATCCTGGGCGACGGCAAGCCGCTGGCCGCCTGCGCGCCCTACAGCACGAGCGCCGCGGCGCAGTCCCCGCACCAGCACGCGCCCAAGGCGGAGGGGGGCGGACCCGGAGCCGCCGGAGGAGCCGGAGGAGCCGCAGATCCGTTCAGGAGCAAAGCGGAGCAGGAGGAGAGCAGGAGCAAAGCGGAGAAAAGGGAGGACGCGCAGGGAGACAAGTGCAAAGGTGAGAGGCTAATAACCGTTTGGGGAGGTAAAGAAAGATGTATTTTTGGTTATTATGTGTGCGCTCGGATTTGTTAAGATTAATAAAATAATCCGAGTTTGTGTTGGTGGAGTTTAACATCGGAGTTTCAATAAGCTCAATATTTTAAATCTGAAAAAAATCGTTTAGTGAAATTAACAGATTTAGAAATAAAATGTTTAGTCCGGGAAAAAAAAAATATTTTCCTTTTGTTCACATCAATCAAGCAAAATTGGGTTCGTGTCACTTAATAATACAATATAAATAGACTCAGCATTTTAACAGCGCTAAATAATTTTTTTTAATGTTTAAGAAAAAGTTATATTAAATATATGTTCTCATTAAATTCCCTGTATTATCAGATTCAACATAATGCAGTTCAGATACCACTATAGCTGCACTGGAGTCACTCGGAGTTTCACTAGACTCATCATTTTAAGGCCGGTGTTTAAAATGTTATTTAGAAAAATAATCCTCTAATTTTTTTGAAGATTATTTTATTTTGTAGTATTTTCTCACCTGTTTCCTTTATTTATTAGTTTGCCTCAGTGTCCTCAGTCTGTACTTCAGAACAGAATCATCTGGGTTTGCTCACTGTTAAAGTTTCTTAGTAGTTTAAGTCTGAGGCTGTTAACACGATCAAATTTCGTTAATTCGCAATTTTGCACTAAACTGGGCTCTCTTAGTAGCGCTCTAAAAGACTTTTTCTGTTTTCATCAGTTTTCCTTTTTAACCACTTCAGATCCCCAGTGCAGTTCAGATCCACCACAATAGTGTTTCAATAAGCCCAGCGTTTTACGACCTCCAGTTTACTGACTTCATTATACAAGACGAAATAAACGGTAATGATTGCTTTAAAAAAGCTGTGTATTTTTTTCACTGTAGAGGCAGCACAGGCCTGCTCTGTTTACTGTTACCTCAATACGAAAACCTGCAGAGATTACATGATTTCAACCACACATCATATTATGGTCTATAACTATACAATATTAATACAATATTACAATAATACCATATTAGGCTTATATTTGTAGTAAAGCTACGGAAGAAATTCAACAAAATAGTCGTTTGGTAGAAAATAAACGGGAGAAAAGAATTTAACTATAATAAACTGTAACTGTAATATATTTTCAGTCTTTTTTTGCAGTGATAGGTTTAAAATGTTTTGACATATTTGAAATACAAATGAAATATTTGTTGGCAGTTTCAAATTTTTTTCCATCTGTTTCGGTCTGTTTGAAATATTCGCCGCATTTTGACACTTTTCATAACAAACCTGATCTAAATTAGAGCAACATTCTCCAATCTTGGTGTTTTATCTGAGTGCTTTTAGTTGTGTAAGAGGTTGAAATCACGCTGTCACTGAGCTCTCTCTGATATTAGCATAACAGATGTAAAGCCTGCTGAAGTTGCCCCGGTGCTGCAGCCTCCCTAGTGGGGCAATTAGAGAGATTATTGTTCTTCCTAGAGGGGGGATCATAGAGCGCCACAAAAACACTGCTACAAATAGAGATGGATTCAGCTATCGATTCTATACCTTTCCATTCTTTTTTATTTCGCCTTCACCTTTTTTTTCTTTCACGCCAACAGAGATTTTTGTGGTTTTGTTTATCTTTTGTAAATCTGATGCTGGCGGTGATGTTAACAGTCATTACACATCAGAAATATTAAATAATCAGATCGAAATCAGGCCTACATTCATTATTTCTACCATCAAATTTAATTGTTGAAAAATCCAGAGTCTAAATTTTCTCTCAGATAATTATGAACCTGTATTAACTATATCATTTTTGAGGAAATAAAAATGTCTGTGTATGAAAATGAACAGCACTACATCTGCGCTTTTATGTGCGTGTATAATAATATTTTTTTATCAAATTAGAAATATTCTCGGCTAAATGTTATTCTCGTTCTCCGCTCTTTTCCAGCCACTAAAGAGGAGGGGGATCGGGAGATCTCCAGCTCCAGAGACAGCCCCCCAGTGCGCACTAAGAAGCCCCGGAAAGCGCGCACGGCCTTCTCGGACCATCAGCTGAACCAGCTGGAGCGCAGCTTCGAGAGGCAGAAGTACCTGAGCGTGCAGGACCGTATGGACCTGGCGGCGGCGCTCAATCTGACCGACACGCAGGTCAAAACCTGGTACCAGAACAGACGGTAAGACCCCCACTGCCCCCTCACTTCACACCTTTACAGACTTAAACTGCTGTAAACCTCCTGGCCATGACCCGGTATAATAATAATAATAATAATAATAATAATAATAATAATGTTGCTAATCACGATTAATCACCATTAATGGGGAGGTGGCTGATACCTGAAGTTGGTCAAACCAAATTATTTTACTTGTGAATATGAAATATCAGCTCGAGCTCGGCGGTCTTGTGGACCCGTTTTTATGCAGTTCGGCGTTCTGCGCGTTTTTTAACGGGATCTTTTTATCGCGCACTTTAAATTAATAGATTTAATCTACACCTGTTCGTCACGTGCAGTTTCAATGCTTAATGTATATGTTGATTTATTTTTGTAGCACGTTTTCAGCCAATGTCCAGTTATTTTGAAGTAGGTCACAAGCTTTATCTGAAGAACTGAAATTAATATAATGAATAGAATAACAATATAAATAAATGTTGTTGTTTTTCCTTTTTTTCCCAAAAACAACAAACAAAAAAAACTTTTTTCGGTTCGTTTTGTTCGGTCTCTCCCTCTCTCTCTCTCTCTCTCTCTCTCTCTCTCTCTCTCTCTCTCTCTCACACACACACACACACACACACACACACACATACACACACACACACACATTTACACATATTCAATTGGCTAATAAATTAGATGATTACTTACTAAATTAATAAGATTAATTTCAGTACATTAATAACTGCAAATAACTTTAAAACTCAAACTGTGCTACTGTTGCAACTTCAGAATATTTTCACTGCAATGTATTTTTTCTTTTCGTTCTTTTTTTTTAATGTCTCGTTTCACGCTGCCTGCAGTTTTAGAGTGCAATCTGACTTCATTAGTCAATATTTACCTTCAATAATCATCAGTGACGAATTCATTTGAATTTCTGCTCTTATTTTGTGCTTCATTCACAGCGCAGTTTGACGAACATATTCGGATCTCATGAGGGCGATATCATTTCATCAATGAATAATCAATACTAATTAATCAATACACGCTTTTAATAATGAAATAAAACGCAAAATAACGGCATCTTAGACGATATAGTAATATAATCATGTCGGGAAATTATTACGATTAATAATCAATAATCACTACCAGTAATCAATAATAAACTGCAGTAATCAAACAAACCAGCAGTTAAAATTTGTTATCTTACTATTAGGTAAGTTTTAGAGGGTCGTGTGGTGAAGCCATCTTTAATCAATAACCGATCCTCGTCTGTATCGATCACTCGACTAATCACGGCTGGGTGTTGTGTGTCTCGTGCAGGACTAAGTGGAAGCGGCAGACGGCGGTGGGTTTGGAGCTGCTCGCGGAGGCGGGAAGTTACTCAGCGCTGCAGCGGATGTTTCCGTCGCCCTACTTCTATCCCCCGGGGCTGCTCGGGGGGGTGGACGGCAGCACGGCGGCGGCCGCAGCGGCGGCCATGTACAGCAGCATGTACCGGAGCCCCAGCGCGCCGCATCCCGCGCTCCACAGACCGCCGCTCGTTCCGCGCGTGCTCATCCACGGGCTCGGGGCGGGGGGGCAGCCAGCCCTCAACCCACTGGGGACCCAACACCCCCGGTAAAATTACCCAGGGGTGGCGGGGGGAGTTTATAATAAAACAAAAACAAAACAACAACAAAAAAACAATTTAATCAATGAACAAAGACATTGAGAGACTGCTGGAGGAAGAGGAGGATAAGGATGAAGAGGAAGAGGAAAAAAGGTTTTTTTGCAAAAGACAATTGAAAGACTGCTTTACTGAAAAAGAAGAGCAAGACGTTGGTGATGAAGATGAAGAAAACAGCAAAGTATTATTTAATATGGAGCAGCTGAACTCCAGTAAAAAGGACTGATCACGTGACGGACTGTTCGTTTGTTTGTTTGTTTGTTTGGGTTTTTTGTTTTCCTTTCTTTTGTACAAATACACTTATACTAGTAAATAAACTTACAAAAAAGTTTATTAGACGGAAGAAAGGGTTGAATAAAGACAGAATGATAAAGAAGAAGAAAAGGGGATCTGAGAGGTTTTGTGTTAAAAAAAAAAACACGTGCAGACACTAAAATGATTAATAATAATTAAATAATGCCGGTCAATGAAATAAAAAAGGAAGCTCTGTAGTATTGAACGCTCTGCTCCTTCAGGGCCTGGGAGAAATTATATCAGCCTTTAAATTACAGTGTTACATTTTTAATAAAGAAAAAATGAATTAAATGATATCAAATTTATTTAAATCGAATTATAATTTTATTTTTCAAATTTAATTACATGTGACTGTGATCTAACTGTGGCCTGCTCCATAATGTTAATATTCGGCTTTTATGCTGGAACCAAGAGCTCGAGCTGGAACGCGCGCGCCACGCGAATAACCAGAAACACCACGGGTGCGAGACTGCGAGTTAGCGAGCTCCAAGTTCTGGACCGCTCTCTTGTTCGAGAACGCGCGCCACGTGAACGCGCTTTCAGTTCTGGAACGCTTGCCAGTTCCATGGCAGCGCGCTTTAGTTTTGGAATGCGCTCTGGTTCTAGAAGGCGCAACTGTAACGCACTTCCCCCAGCGCACTGCGCGAGATGAAGATGACCACACGAATTAACACAGCGAGCCACATCGGCGAGAAACAGGAGCACAATAATAATAATAATAATAATAATAATAATAATAATAATAATATGATTTAACCATTTTTTATTTACATGTTTAAATGTAGAGTTATGAACTATGAACCGCTACACTCCAAAAGTAAAGCAAACGACACAGCTGGAATGCAGAAACAGGCTTCTGAATTATTATTATTATTATTATTATTATTATTTACTTATTTTAATTTTTTATTTATGTTCATATATAATCGGCATTCCATCCATCATTCGCTGTGGCCGTTGATAAAAGTTTCTAGTGTAAGTGTAACAGTGGGCTACCGCATAATAAAATGCTGGCACCTCTTGGGTCTAAAAGTAAGAGAAGCGAAGACGTGCACGCGCCACATCAAAATGAAAAATAGAATTATGAAGTGCATAAAAGATTTCAGCACCACCAGAAACCGAAACCGAAGTATTTATAAACCTGGGCCATTCGCACACACTGCGCTCCACCACTGTATTTAATTACAGATTAAAACTAATTTTATCTTTTTTATGGGTGATCTCGTTCACCCCAGCGGGGCAGCGGGGCTCCACACTGCGCTTTCCTGAACTATTGGATTCCACCTCAAGACCCAGCTGACCTCCGCCAGGGTCAAAAACGAAGGGACAGTGGACGTCTCACCTACTTAGGACAGTACAAAAGACAGAAAATGGACAAAAACCGCAAACCTGCAGGCCATATCGAATTAGAATTAGATTAGACATTCAGTCAATGAAGTGCACTGAGAAGCGAGGCTTTTGTAGCGCTTCTTTGAATTTACTTATTTGTTTGATTCAAATACGTACATCGGTTCTACAAAGATAAAAGACAGCAGCACAATTTATGAGAAAAAAGTATGTTAACTGAACGACAGTAATTGTGTTTGTGTCTTATATTTCATTCTTGCGGAATTTTGTACACATTTAAGTCAAGAACATTCAAAGCAGCGCTTGTTTCGTACATTGGCGAGAATTTGTGCAGAAACTGCGCCATTTGCGCGGACGACGAGCTCAAGCAGCCTAATTAGAGCGCACATGTATAATGTAGGCTAAAGGCCCTGCGGCTAACTTTGATTTTCTTTTTTTTTTTTTTTATTTGCACCACCACTAAGGACAAATATTTTACCGCGAGGGGAAACAGAGCTGCAACAAAAGAGTGCAGTGGCAGAGCTAAAATTAATATTATTAATAACACCATCCGCATTAGCTGTTATCACTTTAACCGTTATTTTTTATCTTCTACAGTTTATTAGCTTTACAGCTTCGCACACTTTTACCACAAATTCAACAATAAAATATTAAGAAGTGGGGACTATATATCAGAAGGAGATTGAATATTGGAATAGTGGTGTCGGAAATCAGCGATTTCTACGTCGTACAGAAAATAACAGATTTATTTGAATGGTGCAGCAACTGGTGCGTTACATTGGCAACAATAATAATAATAATAATAATAATATTGATTTGAAATGCATGGTCAGGTCCAAGGGCACCATTCATTTGGTCACTTTTTAAAGACTACAACTAATTTATTTATTAATTCTCATTTTTATGAAGGATTGAAAAGGAAGAATCTTCAAACCTGAATAGATGGCAGTTTATAGCATCCTATTTTCAGGGTTAACAGAAAAGCCCAATCATTTTTTATCTGTTTATCTCCCCCACGTCAGAGGTCACATCATAAGCTGCCACAAAGCCTCAAGAAAGAAGAGTAAGAGGTCATCACAGTGATTACTGAAAATAAAAAAAAATGCCCAGCTAAAGGATTCTTCAAATTATAATTAAAAAAAAAAAGATTCAATTAATTTTAATTTAGTGATGCAAATATGCACTTTGTTCATGTTACTATCAGCTTTGTTAACCCTCAGTGGGCCCAAAATGAATCCCCTATTTTAACCTTTGACAATAACTATAGAGCCTAATTTAGCTTCAGGCTGACTTTTCAAGCAGAGCAAAAGCATGCCGAGGTTAAAGAAGAGAGTGAGTGTGGAAATGAAAAGAGGATGTTCATATGACACACACACACATTAGCCAGAACCAGTCGCCTTCTGAGAAGCGGTCTGTACTCTGTGTTTGCCTCCAGGAACCTGTGTAGGCTTCTGTAATTGCCACATTTTCCCAACTGATGTAATAACAGGGATGTCTTAGTTATTCCCCTAATGAGGGAAATGTGCTCATTAGCACGAGATCTGCTCTCACTTTTTACTACATTTTGTCTGGTGGGCTCACTCAAAGGACAGGGCCAGGTCCAGCTAGAATGAAGAAGCAGGTGGCCGGGGGTCACCGGATGAAATCTGAAGGGGTGCGATCACTTTTATTGGGGTTGGGCAACATCAAGACACAGTGCAAGTGCTCACACTTCCCCGCAAAAACCAGCACTGAGCATCTGGGTGTCCTTTTAATGATCAGCGGTTGGGTCCTTAATCTGGTCCCTTGGTGATGGCAAGGTGTCAGAATGATGAATTTTAAGACTGCAAGTTGTCAGGACGAACGTTTTTTGAAAGCTACTGGTATTGGTGGAACGGTTCCATCAAGGTTAGATTAGTGGAAAGTGTGAATTGGGATTTTTGCAAAGAGGCCGAGATGTCTGCCAGGCATTGCACTAAAAGCCTATGCTTGCATAAATTTCCAGCATGCAATTACTGCTAAATGTGTGAAACTGACTAATATGTCAAGCATATTTATCAGAAAACACCCCCAGTAATCATGCTGACCATCTGCCTGTACTTTTGTTGGTGCATTTTTAACAGACTTATGTGCTCCACACTTAAAAAGGCACTAAAATGCCTTTTTAAATCACTGGCCCTAATAATCATTACACTAATAGCAAGACTGAACAAGTTAATAATGTATTACAACCAACTGTTGCTTAAAAAAACATTGACATGACAGAAAGTAAAAGCTAGATCATTCTTTTGGGATGTGTGACTGCAGATATTAGATGAGGCAGGTTTTTTCTTAAGAAGTTCTTGGAAAGACTAATGCTAACTTACAGCAATAATTATAATTATATTGCTATTTTGTACTCTTGCATACTATAACTCTACCTCAGCCAATTTCATTGGGCCTCACTAACTGAAGTCCATCCCACTTCAAAATGATGAGCTAAATGAATGTGTTTACATACATTTATATCACAGCAGTCATCATATCATTCAATAAAACATATTACTGTAGACCTATCACGGTTGACATATATACCGACTGATATGCATTAAATTAAACAGGCTGTTTTTGTTATATATATATATATATATATAACAATATATATATATATATATATATATATATATATATATATATATATATATATATATATATATATATAAAAGAAAATCTTATGAATCTTATAAATGTTACAAAAAAACAACTCCAAATCAGCCAAACCATCTTAATAATCTTTTAAATGAATTATTGGCAGTAGCAACTCATAAATAATTGTTAAAGGAAAGCATAAACGTTTTGACTGCCATTTTATTCCGTCAACTTTCTCTGTTCCAAGTAAATGATATATTAGGGGCACTAGTCAATGGGCTAATCATGAGGTGTCATTACTCAATATTGCATATTGCTGTATTTTTGATTAATCTGACAAGTGTTTTTGTTATACTTGAGTCCAGCCAGTCTATATATATATAGGCTCAGACACTCTTTATAACTTCACCATGAAAGGGCAGAGCTAAACTGCTGTAGGTTGAATGGTGCATATATATAAACATGTTCAAAATGGGCTGTTTTTGCCACTTAATTTCTAAATATGGACTATATGGAACTGGAATTCAACAGTACATTTTAGGACTTTAACAGTATTGATATACTGTGGAAAAAAAATGAGGTCCATAAGGAACACCTGACAAATCACATCTCTGATTGTTTTCTCTTGATAAAATTTCAGTGATGTCGATGGGTTTTTCACTGCTGGCCAGGAATCAGTTCCTTGCTGCATCCCATTGGTCATGATGGCTGCCAGATAGGGAGCTAAAGTCCTGGTTAGTGTT